GTTCTTGAACTGAGGAGGTAAAAGATACATTTTGCCAATGGAACAAGACAATTTACACTTAAAATTAGAAAACAACAGACTATTGGTGCTTCAACAGACCAGGAAGAAATTGTGAGATTCTAGAGCGAATCTCACAACTTTAAAAGAAAATTCTTAATGCAGGAATGGATGAAGAGATGATGAGTTTGGAAGCATAGAACAAACATAGTTCATACAAACTATGTTTGATCCTACTTATTCCTGTTACAAAAATTCACAACAGAAAGAAAATATTTGAGCAGAAACTGAACATCTGCTGGATGAATATGGGGATTTTTTTTTAAATATGTCACATTAAATTAAACGTTCACAGGGTTTATACATACGCGTTGTACTTTACAAGACAGTAGATTTTCCTAACAATCATCATATACCGAACTGAACTGAAAACCGTGACCACGATACCGTGGTCCGAACCGAACCATGGATTTTGTGAACCGTTCCACCCCTAATATATATATATATATATATATATATATATGTTATATATACTTTGTGGCTCTATTATTCCTAGCACCTGGTGGGGTCACAGTATCGTCAGATACAGGAGTTTACCTGTATCGGGAGGGTTGTGTGTTCAGCATTGCCTGCTGATGGTGATCAGAGGGCCAGGTGGCGTCAGCGTACGGCAGCCTTGCTTCTGTCAGAGAGTCCCAGGGCAGCAGTGGCTACAACATAGCTTGCCACCATCAGTCTGTGGGTGAATAACTGAATGTAGTGCAAAGCGCTTTGGTCAAAGACTTGAAAAAGCACTATAGAAGTACATGAATTTTAACATTATAAGGGATATGAAAAGGAGAAATTCAGTTAAATTTATTTTGCAAGGTATCTGGTTTAGATCTCAGCTAGGGCTCCTGTACTTTAATGCTAGCATCTCAACTTAATCCTCCTAGTAAATTTTAGGAGAAAAATATGAGAAACATTTTAGACAAAATAGAAACTCAAATGAGGTTTAGATGAAAAACTCAAATACATCTCTTTGGCTATGGAAGAGCAAACTTTGAGCAGTAAAACTTGCCTCTGGGAAACTAACATAAACCCATTTTTGTCCAGGAGGAAGTTGGAGCATCAGAATATAACCTCACACATGGACAGTTCATGCACAACTCTCAGGATGGGATTCAAACCTGACACCAACTTGCTGCAAATGAACGGTTGTAACCGCAGAGTTGCAAGAGCCAAGAAAGATTAATCTCAGTGAAACTTCTGAATTCAAATCAGGACTGTAAAAAATCCTCATCACTTAAATCTGGCATATTTGCTTACTGTTTGAATAAGTTTGATAATCCTAGTTGATTTGGATGAAATAGGGCATATATTTACTAAGACTACTCTTTCAGAGGGTGAAAAAATGTTTAGTTTCTTTTAATAAGTTATGTGAAATGCCATATTTCTCAGAAAACATGACATTACAAGCAAGAGCCTAAGACTGGCTTAACAATGTCTGCTCCATCATCCATCTCAAAATGTGCCATGCTGTATTCGACACTTGATGCCCTGTTAATGCATCCAGAAAAATTCCCCTCTATTTTGAAATATACCAGATCGGCTCCACTCCTCTCGTGTCTGATTTAAAGTCTGACTCATCTGGTTTATAGAAGTTGGCACATTCTGATCTGTCATTCGCCCAAAAATAAACATCCCTGATTTTCATGGGGAGAAGTGTCTGTTAGCTGCAGCACCATGAAAGCAATGGGAAGGAGCTAAAATACACCGTATCCTTTATGGATCACTCCAACCACTGGAGTTGAAAATTCTGCCCGCTAAACAAGCCGGGAAGCAAAGCCACCAACCTCCAAATTTAAAACTTACCAATCTTTCCAAGACATCAGCTATCTCCATTAATACTTTTCGCTTCTGACTGTTGTTTTTATGCAATGTGGCATCTTATAAAGCAGTTCCGTTTTCTACCTCTGTGATATCCTGGCTTTGATTTGTATTTGTTTATTCAATATTAATTTCAGAATTACAGTTGCAAACAAATGAGTTAATCTACTTGTGTCGTCGACTGCTTGCAAGCAAGCTATTTTAACAAAATGTTAATTGTAGGCAGCAATACTGCTAACCTGTTGTAGCTGTTCTGTGTGAGTAAGCTGCTTAGATCTAACTTTCAGTGAAAGGGTCCTTTCAATGCATTCCACAAATTAGTTTGGCAGTATAACTTTTTTTAGCAACAGCACATAAATAAACAAATAACTGTTATCAGTTTCAGAAGGAACCTTTTTTTTAAAGACTACTTTTAGATATATTCATATTTTGGAACTGTATGTATGCTCTACAATGTATTCTTCCTTTTTTTCAGCACACATTATATATTTTTGCTGTTGTAGCTTGGTAAACAATCTGGAAGCGGCACAGTTTTACAATGTAGACTTTGCAGAAATTACATGTTTCATGTTTTTATTTTATCTAGAGCTTTACTTCTGAAACATTTCAGCCTGTGAAGCCCAAATAAAGAGTAACTGATGACACCCTACATGCAAGAGTCACAAACCTAGATATGTTTTTATGATCAATTAATTAAAAAGATGCTTTTTAATGTGTTAATTTAATCATCTAAAAGGTACATATAAACTCTCAAGGTTTAAGTCACAATAATACTGAAAGATAATTTCACAACCCCATGGGGCCCCAACATCTATCTTGGGAACCCCTGAGTTTTAAAAACTCAATTTGGTAAAGGTTTTCAGATATTTGAGTAAAATGTTAATCTGTGTTTTAATGTGAATTTCACACCCGTTAAGACCCTTATCATCACTTAACCTCCCATTACTTAGAGAGCTTTAGAAAGTTTGTTTAGTTATCTGCCCAGCCACCAGGTGGAGCATGTGACAGGCATTTACTGCATGAATTCTGGCTTTACATTTTTTCTATCAACAGTAAGGAGATTATGTCAGTATTAATTTGGCTAAAGTTTTGATATACATTTCTCTGGATCCAATATGTTTTAAAAGTTGTGCAATTTGCAAGTAAAACATTCCTGATTACATAAAAAAGTTTGCTTAGCTGCAGCCTATTTTGATTTTTGGAAGATCTAAGCTGCCAAAAAAGAAAAAAAAGAAGCCTTCATATCTTTTGTCACTTTAATAGAGTTTATAGAAAAAAATATTAATGCACCTTTATGAACACCGACCCAAATATATATTGACGGAACAATGGTTGCTTCTGTCACATAATATCAGAGGTCTAAGCGGGTTCCGGAATATAAACGGACACTGTTCTCCTCAGAGACATGGTTTTTGATAATTGTAGACCCACCAAAGTTTGAAGTTCTCAGTTTTTTTTCTAAAATAGAGCAACGAACCGCTGGACTTAACAGTGTGAGATATGAAGATAGCAAAAAGCATGATTAATATCCGCACTGACTCATCTTTGTCTGACTTGAGCAATACATAAAGAAAGAAAGAGGAACTTGGTTGTTTGGTGGGATTGAGGCCCAAAGCCTTATATGGGTACATTTGTGCAAATGTGTGTATTTCATATGTTTAGTATGGGAATGAAGAGTTTAAAAAAAGGTAAAGGTTATGCATAGTAAAACACATCGCAGTGGAAGATTACTCAGAATTTGCAGCGCTCAACGTTTATCAATTTTTTGCAAAGAAAAAAAAAACAGAATTAAAGTCCTATAACACTGCTTGTACTCATGTGTATATGTATGTCCATGTGCCTCGTGATTCACCCTTGTCTAATAATACCCGCAGGCCCTGTCTGAGAGCTGAAGCATTTGGAGTCCAGTGAAAATGAGGAATCAGGAATAAGAAGTGAGAGGGCTGGATGTCCTCTTGCTTGCATGTCAAGCAGGCATTCCATGTCATTGTGAAACGCATGATGACCACTGAAACCTCTGTGCACTCTCATCCAGGAAACACAGGCCCTGACATGGACTGTCCAACCAACACTAAACTAAAATTTCCCATACTGTTTATTTTATTTATTTATTTATTTTTATTGCATTAGAAATAAAAGGTCACCAAAAGGATTGGAAGCTATCTTGTCAAAAAAAAAAAGAAACTTTAAAAATGAATGGGACAAATTACTTCAGGGTTTTAGTGGAGGTTCTAACCAAAATAATAATATCTTTTGCTCCTTTTGATGATAAATCATATCTTTAATAGCTCCTGCATATGTATTTGGATCAAATAAAGCATAACTTGCATTAACGTTTATACATGCAGGTGTGATTTAACTATTCGGCATCTGTGAACTACACACATTTTGCAATATTTAACGTAATAAGCATTGGTTTGTAATTTTTTTTTTTTTCAGAGACAAACTTCATTGTATGTTTTTCTAAAAACATTTATTTTTCATCTTCAACAAACTTACAACTGTATCAATATGTAACCTACAAGAGAAAAATCTTTGCAAAGTTCTTGTAAGAATTTAGCTGTGGGAAATGAAATGCCAATTTTGACCTGACGTGATTGCTACTTCTTCCAGATGTTATTTTTATACCATTTTTTTTTCAACCTCATTTTTATAGTTATCAAATCGTCCATTTTGCTCCATGCGGTGCTCATCTTACAAATGACTTCTGTAAAGGCATGATTATTTAGATTCCACCCGTCTCTTCTGCATTTTGTTTGTTTCAAGTCAGGGTTAAAGGGGAAGCTTCAACTATCGTCAGCTCATAAAGATGTGCCCAATGCCACTGAATTCAAATCATGGTGATAATCTTTTGATAAAGTCTCAAACAGCACGCAGTCTGTTTCAGTTTCATGTTAAAAACAGCTTTGTCGCAAGCACAGAGAAAATGTACACTTCCCAAACAAAGCTAAGATACAGTAATAAAAAAACACAAACAAAAGTACACTGCACTTTTGTTTTTAAATTAGGTCTAGACAGCAATCTGTTGGGTTTGTGGGAAAAGACAAACTAAACTCATTAGCATTAGCCTTGACAACTCATTTCGTAGGAACAGTTTGCCACCTTCTTGTTTTAATAAGGAAGGAGAACAAGGAGAAGAAGCAGAAGCCTTACAGGACCAACCTAAATTGGTAGATTTAAGGAAGTTTTTAGTTCCGCAGCTAATACTCAGTTATATAGAAAGCTTGCATTTTTCAACCACCTTTGGCAATTTGCTTCCAGCGATTCAACATCTCTCTGGAAGACACCTTTGGCAGCCTACTGCTGAATGTTACTCAGACGACAACGGTAAGAGCCGAGCACATCAGCTCTCTGAGTGAGACTGTGGGCGTTTCCTGATTTTCCTGCTATTAAGCCCTCTGCTAAGAATTGCTTCTCAGTTATTGTACAGTGCTTTGTGTTTTTGAAGTTTAAATTTATTTAAAAAAAACTATTTTTTCCACCCTAAAGTATATACTTAAATATTACTGACTGAAGTAACACTATGAATGTTTGTTTGTTTATACTTACTAATTTATTTATTTTTTATCTTAACCCTGCAAAAAAAGGTATCTGTTGTACCCTCAAAAAAGGATATGAATATTTATTAGAATGTAAGTTTTTCTAATGTTTGGCTATTTTCCCCACCAGTTTATTTTATATTCTTCAATTTTCTTAGACAGAACAAATGTATGTATTTCTCAATTTGATTGCACAATTATATACAGTTGTCAAAATTCTACACATGTTGGGTCGTTTTATTTTTATTTTATTTTATTTTTTTATTCAAAACAGTGAGAAAATTAAGTTTCCAAAAATATAAATTTAAAAATTTTGCACCCCTTTTTCATTCATTCCAAGGCATCAAGTTTAAGCTCTTTTACTTTCTTTTCTCTTTTTTCTTTTTACCCCAAATTTCTCAATGCGCTCAGAAGAAATAGTGAGCGAAGACAATTACGAAATTTGAATACTGCCACAGGAGGTGTGGACATCAAACTGCAGTCATTCTGGCCAAACTGATGTGCAGCAAAGGAGGAATGCAACACTTCCTGTTGCGACGTACCCTGTATCCTGTTTTCCACAGTCAGTGGTCATGCGTGTCATTCCCCTCTGCAAAGCAGTGTGGGCATAATCTTGTGACCCTTTTCTGAGAACTTTTCTGACACTATTTGACAAAGTCTCCAAAAGTCTGGAGGGGAAGAAAAAACATCTATCGTCAGCAGAAATTAAGCACTATAATAGCACTGTAAATATAATTTTTGATGAGAAATGCTTGTGGCTTTAGTAAAAATTTTGATCAGGCAAATCAAGTTATTGTGAAATGACAGACTTTTGCAGCGGTAAGGAAAGGGTAACATAAGCAGCTTTTGAAAACCAGTACACAGTGTTTTCTTCAGATTATAAATAGTGCCTTAAAATAAATGTATGGAGAAACAGTTATGCGAACGTTGACACCTTTATATAGCTTGTGACTTGAGGGGCCAAGCTATGTGACCATGATTAAGAGGTGCCAACACAACTGTTTGCATGCTTGTGCAAGCTTTTGGCCAGATAAGTATCTCGTGACAGCATTTAGACCGAAAACTCTGAAAAGCACAGTAACACCCTATGGTGGAAACCAAAATACAGCTCTCTTGTCCAGAGGTGCAGGTCCCAAGAAGCAAATTTCTAAATATAACACTTACTGCGCTTAAATACTGTTTGTTGTTGCTGAAATTTTTATTTTAATTTCTTATTCTCACCAGAGAAAAAGTCTCACCTAACATATGATTTTATTAGGACACCTTTTGACTTGTCAGTGTAGGAAAAGCACTGGTCTAATTATAATGTTTTATTCCTGTACTTGCTATAGTTTATATTCTTTTTTTAAAATATATTTTATGAATTATTCTTTTGTTTTCAGTCTCGGACAATCATTTATTTTATCTAATGACTCCACCAGCAAATGATAAGGGAAATAATTGATTTAATATTCTCTTAAGTTATATTAATTTTCATTTCTGGCATATTTCACCTCTCATATTTCTATTTTCACAGTAATCCACGAAGTTGTAACCTATCTTTAAGGTTTTCTAGCTTATTTTAACCTGCAGTGACTTGATCAGCTCTGCAGTAACACTAGAAGTTGGATGAACAGTAAGGAAATGTATAAAATGCACAGATATAGCTTAACAAGTGGCAAGTGCATGGTCAGGTTACGTTTTATCTAAGAATTACCTTAGTTCAGAACTATTTATGATGTCAGCCATGGTGACCTAGATCCAACTTCATGTTGCTAGTTCAATTTATTTAGTAATATGTCCATGATGATAAAGAAAGCACAAGATTAGATGTGTTTGCAACAAGAAGGTCCTGGTTTGAACCCTGCTCTGGTTCTCTCTATTGATTACACATTACAAGTGCAAGCCAGAGTTTGTGCATCTATTTAATTCACAAAGCCCTCAAGTAACTTATTTCTTAAATTACAGTAAGCCAAATGGCAAAATCTACACTGACACAAGACTCTCAATTTTATATAAGGCATTAATACTCTAGATAAAGCATGTTGCTTCCAATAACTTGCTCTTCTGTAGCTAGCTGTCATCTGATTTTTTTGTCTCTTTTTTGCCTTAATTTATCTAATCCACACGTGTGCATAAAAAAAAATAACAGAAAAAAAAAAACGAGAAAAAAACCCAGCATACAATCTTCTTGTATCTGGTTATTATTTAGAATACAAACCTGCAGGACACCAGCCCTTGAGGACTAGCTTGAGAAAAGCCTGCTGTAAAGAGACATTTTCAGAGGGGGTTGGTTTTTTTTAATAAGCGTACTGCATGAAGTGCAGTTATGTTTTATCAATTACTTTACATGAATAAATGATTAACAGGCTCCTTGACGGCTGGTGAGGAGTTAAGGCAACAATTTGAATCAGGTGTGCCGTAAATGAGAGTCATTTAAAAAATGCAGGACAGTTGTGCTTTAAGACTAAGAATCACTGGATTCTTCTTTCTTTTACGGCCAATCTCTAACTGACGGTAGCTTATGCAATTTGCTCATTTAAATGAGGTGAACCAAACCTGTTTGGAGGCCTTATCCTTTGCTCATGCAATCGTTGTTGATCACTTCTGCACTTGTAATTTAACATTTTATAAATTTTCCCATGCAATTTAGTGCTCCTTATTTGTGTTTTTTAAAGATCATTTCCATATTTTATATAAAGAAGACTTTTTGACTGAAACTATTTAGAGACAAAAACCCACACATCTTCTTTTAGAACCTATAGCTTGCCGCACATGCATTTATTTATTTCAAAGCTTTGCTGAGAATGATTCATCTATGAAACTCTATAATTCAGTGTGGACTCGTTGTAGTTTGTCGTAACCTTTTTTTAAAGTTGGGGAAAAAGCTAAGCTAAACTAAACCACTCTTAAAACAATTTTCATGGCAAATGAACAAAGCGAGAAAAAAGATTAGGAATAATAATTATGTAGTGGTTACAGAATGACACAGTCTTAAGTATTTCTGCAATAGTTACCACTTTTTCTGCTTGAGGCACCTGGGATGATTATGAGGTAAGCAGGGTTGAGACTATTCTGACTTCCAAATCAGAAGTCTAAATTTATTGACTAATCCCAGTGAAGTTTTCCTACTGGAAATGTAAAATTTTTAGATTACAAGATCAAACGAACACCAGCAAGCAGTTTCTGCAGTTTTTTTGTTTGTTTTTTTTAGATATAAACACTGAAAAAATTTAATTTCATCACAATGAAACCAATAACGGTCATAAGAAGGTCTGTGTTTAGGATAAAGTTTTCAATATTAAGACGTTACTCCTATGTCTGAACCCAGATATACTGTGACTAAATGCTGGAGTAAACAGGAACTTTTGGAATTTCAAAATAATGTGCTGACATCTTGAACCCCTCCTTATTTCATAGTATAACACTTCCAAGAAGCCAGATAACATGCGGTTATTAAAAGGATCTTAAGAAATAAGGGCTATAGCTTTCTAATGACACTGTAAAATTCTACTTTGACATATACCCACAGCTATATGTTACAGCTTCTTCTTTTATAATTTTTTTTTTAAGGTCAAATCCTCTCTGCCTGACTTTTTACAGACATATTTATTTATTTAGTTAGTTAGTCTGTTAGTTAGTTGCTTTATCCTTTTAATAAACCCCCTACAAGTAACAATTTAAATAAATTAACATCTTGTTTTTGGCATGGAAAGGTTACGTTGGAACTAATTGTTGTTGCCGACAGCTGTTATGGGTAAATTAATAGTGCTATAACTGCAAAGAATAGACTCCTTTTTTGTGGTGGCATTTAGTTTGCTATGGTGAAATAGAAAGGATTTTTTTTTAAGTTACTCAAGTTTTGTAGTTAAGTGTGTTAGTTTTATCTCCTACTAAATGTGTTTTTTCTTTTTTCTTGTACCATTTCTTAAATTAATAACTAAATTACCTTACTAAACACATTTTGACAGCATTATATGGTTTATTATTATTGTGATTATAAGTTAAGTTGATATTATTTATATTATTGTATTATTATTTTTTAAAATGTGTTTGTTATTATTATTATTATTGTTATTAAGTGAAAAAAAAAACAGTTATTGGCCATTAAGTAATAAGAGAGTTTCCATCTGTATGAACCAAAATTGGGATGTGTCACAGATTTGTCCTTTTAAAAGAAACATCCTGCATATAAATGTAAGCCAAATAAGATGAAACTTCACAAAGTTATGAGACTTATTAGCTTTTAACATTGTTTTACAGGACCGCTGTGAATCCATCTTACTTTGGATTGATCCAGCTTGCTGTCATCTCTGACCAGTTTCGTCCTCTTTCCAAATGAGAAGCATCCATGATGACTGCCACTGTTTAATTTTACCATGGAATCAAAGCGCTCAGGGTGATTTGCAGGACTTATCTGCTGCTGCCTTAGAGTTTTGCATTTAGGCAAAAATGTTCACATTTGTTACTGTTAAGGTAAAGCACCTTTGCGATATGCCTGCTTTTTCATAACAATGGACTGTGGTAAAATTTTATTTCTGCTTGCTTCAAACAATAGCTCTGTTGTCACTCTTCCCTAAAGGGCGTATTTGTGGAGTGCATGACTAATTCTATCCTGTCGATATTCTGCATGCTGAATCTGAGTGGTATAACATTAGAGGAACTGCATAGCTCCCCCAACCATGACTGCGTCTCTGGTTAATGTTGTCCGTTGACTTACTTCTAGGTGGCATCTGATGACTATATTCTTGATTTTATTTAGTGTTAATTTAACAGGGGCTAAAAAATTATCGCACAATTTTCAGTTTTTCTATTTAGAGATTTGATCATTTTCAGTTCATATGTATGTCTTGGTTTACAGCATAAGCTTCTGATGAAATACTTAGAGATTTAGGTTTGCAATTTAAAAGGAAATTAAAAATAAGCCGAAGGTATAATTAACGATTATTTAGGGCAGATCTGCTTTTATTAATTCTATGCAAGAAGACATTTAAATTCCTGGGTCCCTTGTGCTGCTAGAATTACTTTGTTGACTTGAACCAACACTAAAACATGAAAAATAACAGAATTAAATAAAAAAACACAAAGGAAAAAAATCACATTAAGGTGCCTTTATTCTTTATTTCATATACCTGCTAAGTTCCAACCATTGTTTTAAATATGTGCAGTTTCTCTTTTTTACTGTGTTCAGCTTCAAATGTTGCTTCTAGCACTGAACGAGGTGCATATGTGAAATGGTTAGAACTATTCCTATTACTAGACTTACTGGCACCTCGGGGTTAAAAATTTAGCTTTTTAATTATTCAAAAAGGTTTCACACTTTGCAAGTTGCAAATATGTTTTTTGCGAGATACAAACAAACACTTCCCTATATCAATAAAAACATAATCTGATAGGTAGCTATTTAAAAAAAGAAATATGTAAAGCAAATTATTGTATAATCATTTGTGAAAAAAAAAAACTTAATGAGAACTTCTAATTTTAAAGCTGAATCTAAGTAAAAGGCATCTAAAAAGTTGTAAAATATGCCCTAAAGTCACTTTTGCACATGGAAAACAATCAAAGTTCTTTAAAAAGAGCAGCAGTATATGATTTGATGTGGTTTAGAACGCGTTTTTGCAGTTAAAATCAGTAGAACATCATTGTAAACTGATTGATGTTTGTTTTTTAGCTTTTACTGTTTCTTTATAAGAATTATAAAATAAAAAATGTAGAAGCAGTCATGGTGCTACTTTTTTATCATTGTATCATGTTTCAAACTCCAGTCCTGAAGGGCCGGTGTCCCATATCTTTGAGATCTTTCTGTGCTTTAACGTATCTGAGTCAAATAATCAGGTCATTGGCGGGACTCTGGAGAACTTGACTGCATATGAAGGTGGTTATTTAGCCATTTAATTCAGGCGTGTTGGCCAAGGGATTTGAGTTTGACACCGCTGCTCTATCAGATTGCTGTAAACTAAGAAAGTGAATTTGGTGATAAATTTAATAAAGTTAAAACTATTATCTTCCACCATATCTTTGTTGTTTTTTTTTTTTTTTGTTTAATGGTATTTCAAAATATTCTCCAAAACTTAATGTCCCAAACCTTTTACACCCTGCTTTCTTATAGTCCAGAAAGCAGCTCAGAGATAGCTTTTATAACCATCAAAGAGAGTGTCTTTGCTTTCAGCAAGACTTAAAATAACGAAAATAATAATAAAAATTAAATAAATAAAAAAAAAGATTGTAACACAAAAGTTAAAAAGGACAAAAGGACCACCAATGCAAGAAGCTCCCATGGTGAGGTGTGGATCATCCTGGACAAATAACACATAAATGTATTCATTTGAAGACAATTTTCAAGGAACTGAATCTGAAAACAAGTTCCAGGTTCCTCATTTAGCTGTATCTTGTTGAGCATGTAATGTGCTCTGCACGCCCTTTATCTCTCAGGCCACACACAGTGCAAACAGTGACAGCCTTCTAAAACCAAACTTTGTGGTAAAAAGTTATCACAGAAGGATAGTTGAGTAACAAAGGTCGGCTTTAAAAGGTCGTTTTAAAGCTGGGTTTTGAAATTATTACAGATAGGAAAAAAACATTTATTTATCAGTTTCAATATGGGTGAAATGGTGGACAAAATGTAAAACAACATGATTCAAGTACATCCCTAGACTTATGACATTGTGTGACCTTCTGGTTGATATGAGTTAAATATAAAAAAACTGTATGTTTAATAAAAACATTTCCCTCTGTGGAGTATTGGGTTGAAACCAATGTTTTTTTATGGGGGGCCAGAGTTTAAAGCCAGAAAAGGCATTTGGTTTGAAATCTTTCTAAGGTTCACATAAAAGCAGCAATGTCTGTGGTAAATGCTGAGTAAAAGAGCAGCAGAAAGGACTCACTCAGGATGACAAATTAAAATGAAGTTAGCAAAGGCATGCGGTAGCCAAACAATAACACAGTTGTTATCTCATAATGACAGAGAGGACAGACAATAAAAAGACTGATGAAGAACCAGCATCATGGCCCTACAATAATTCAGTTCAGCTTACTTCTAATCTTGTCATATTTTCTATTACAGTAGCGAAACAGCAAAACTTTAGCAGCCAAGAAATCTATACATCAAATTAGTCTAAAAAGAAATTCTGAACGAATCCCTAATCTTCCTTTTATTCCCAGAGAATTGAAAATGTGGTAGTTGTTTGTATTCATTTATCATGCTTTTTATTCTTCACAGCAAAACACAAACAACAGTAACAAAACACAGCTTTGTTTTCAATTGCTCTGCAGTTTACAGCTGATTTTCAGGTTTTCTATGGATCTTTTTAATCTAACGACGGTTGTGGTCTTTTTTATCAGAGCTATGAAGCCTAAAGCCTTTCAGAAGTCAGATTTCTGAACCCTCAGATAAAATCAGAAACTATGAGGAACACTCCCTGTAGTAGGAATACACTCATAAAGTATGAGGCCTCCAAAATTCCTTTATGTTCGTTTGCAAAATTGACAGTTAGACATAAATAATGGTAAAAATGGACATTTACTGGTCATTTTTTGTGTTGTGTTTCATATATATCTTATGTGAACAGGAGAACATGTTCTTTTCATGCATGCATTGAATGAAATTATATTAATGGCTATCATCTTGCATGGGTTATAGCAGTTAAGAGCATTGAATACTCAATACCGTAACTTTAAAACTTGTTAAAATACCATATTTTCCAATATATGAGGTCTAACTAAAAAGCCAAATTAAATGCAGTTTTCATCACATATTTCAGGTTGCACTCAGTGATTATAATCACTTTTCCAATAATTACCAGTGAAGTTCCTCAATTTTTAAAATTAATTTTCCATCTAGTCACACTGCAATGACTTTTGGTGATGTTTTCGTCCACAAAACTAACTCACTAATTTATTAACCTACCTTATCTGACTACTAAGAGAGATTGAGAATCCATTTTACTCAAATTTTCCAAAATATCTTTCAAAGTCTTTTAGTACATTTTGTTTTCTTGGTAACACTCTTACTTTAATAGGCCTTAATTTTTGCTTCCTCTTCCTATTTTATTAACAAACTATTTACCACTTCATCTTTATTATTTTTTTTATTGACCGCTGTCATTCTCTTTTCTGCACTCCTGGTAGCCAAGCTAATGAACTTACCACGGCCCTTTAAAAAAAAATAAAAAATTAACTGACTTCCTTTAACTGCTGCGCAAAGACCTGGATTTTTGAAGATTTTGAAGATATTTTCTGCATAATCTAGTCTTCTTATATTGACATCTCCAGTCCTTACATTCCATCCCAACAGAGGTGTAGCCAGCCAGTTTGTATAAGGGTGGCCAGGCAACCAATGAACACTGAGGGGTGGCCAAAAGCAGATAGAAGCCAGAATCTCAGGGTCAAGCCAAAGATAAGACTTACTATACTTTCCTAATGCCTTTGCTAATAAATAGACGCATATATCTAAACACCCGTGCTTTCTAGATAAAAGGTGTAGTGAATAAAACACTTTCAGGTTTAAATTCTGGGGTGAAAATATTTTCTATTGTCATTACTTACCTGCTTTTATTAGTTATCATTCTGCATAAAATTGATATTTACAAGTACTAATGTCTGCATAAATTGATTATTTAATAAGTTTTTATTAAAATAGTAATTTATCTCTGATTTCACTGAAGAGTCCTAGATGAATGCAGAAACACATCATTTTCTCTTTACCCCATAAAACACAAAATCTAGTTCTGAAAAGGGCAGGAATTCTGTACTTATCATCTTTAATATTACTATATTGATGTTTATAATTAACCACAGTGTTTTTGTTGTCAAGTAATTATTAAAGCTACAGTGTGTAATAATTACAGGGATATACAGTCAGAAATGTAATATATTATACATAACTATGTTATTTATCATCATCTACGAGCTCAGCCTCTTAACCTTAATATTTGCGTTGCCTTAGAATTCGTTATTTATAATTACATAGGAGCGGGTCTCGCAGCCATGGAGGCAGACATCTTTGCGCTAGAGCCAACAAACTAGTGATTGCGAGATCGCCCATTACGCTCGAAAGTAACTACGGCAAGTTGAGAGAGATGAACTGAGACGGTACTGAATCTATACCCTACACAGACTAATGAAATACTATCTGTAAAATGATCTATGTAAACAAACCTCATCACTTGAGAAGGTAGGTGATGCGGACGTCGTGGAAGACATTTTGTCCCGTAACGCTTGCCGTAAAACAGGATAATAGAATCAGGAAGAGATGTAAGGAGTCTAAAGAAACCACCATAGAATCTGGAATCTGCCCTGATTTTGTGAGCATTTAAGGCTCAGTTCTGTTCTTAGCTTTGTTTCTATATTCTGATTCCATCTGCTCCATGGTTGGATGTGATGTGTTCAGAGATGGTATGCATACCCTGGTTGTAATGAGTGGCTATTTAAGCTGCTAATGCCTTTTAGTCATGCCATCCTAAGGATTTTTCCCCATAAAACTCTTGCTGGCTAGATGTTATCTGTGAGCTGCAAAGTCACAGGGTATCTTGCTATTTTACAGGGTAGGAAGCAGTTCGGTGGAGCGGACTGCATTTTAGGAGATTTTTGTAACATACCTTTATTGTATTTTTTCGCAAATATAAACTACAAATGTCTATTTTTTTTAATTCAGAAACAATGTAGCAACAGGATACTTTAAAATGTGGTGCTTTGCACCAAATTCAGCTGAATCTTTCAGAGATTTTAAAATAAAATATTTCTTACAGTTTGGTAATGCTGCTCCACATGCAACCTTTTTATAAATAAATTATAAGCTACGCTAATGCTGTATCTTCAGCAGCCTTCATAAATCCCAGTTAATACTTTTAATATGCTGCTGGTTCAATATTTTATACTTTCTATGAGAACTTTAAATGTAAATTATGCCACTCTTGACCTTTTGTCATGTAAGTAACAAGAGATTTTATTTTATTTTTTTCAGTCATGTTGCATTAAGCATGAAAGAGAACACATTTAAATTTTTGGATAAACCTAAAATAGGCATGACGGAAATAGCGTTGGTCCAGCTGCAGCTCTCTGTATCAGAAAATGCTTGTGTACATTTTATTTTGTATGTGTAGTCAGCTGTGATCAGTCCCACTTTGGCCTTGACAGCAATGTGAGACTCTGATAGGGATGATCTCCCTGAACCTAAATGATATATATATACATATATATGTATATATATATATATATATATATATATATATATATATATATATATATATATATATATATATATATGTATATATATATATATATATATATATATATATATATATATATATATATATATATATATATATATATATATATATATATATATATATATATATATATATATATATATATATATATATATCATGTTGGATAAACATGAGGAGTCCTTTTTTTTGAAGGA